TTTGCAAGAAGTTTTTATACTTCCTTGCTAATAAAGTCTTAATACTTTCCTTAAAACAACTTGAAGTATAATTTCAAAAGTTATTTCTACTCTTTCCTTATTGTTTACAAATCTCTTTACTCAAAAACTTGACTCCTAGTAATCAAGAAAAATCAAGCAATACCTTTGATACTAATGGCAAGAAAGTTCCCAAAGGAAGAAGAACTGACTATGAAATATCTGAAGGCCTATTTAACCTTTGAAGTAAGAGGTATATAGAGATTTTTGATAATAGAAGGGCTTATTTTTCCTCTTTCAGTCACTTGTGAGCCTCTTAGAACTATTGCTTTCATAGTTTTCTGAGGAATTTTGCCTACCTCAGTTTGGCCCTGAATTTTTGGTAGCACAAATCCTTACCAAAGATGATTGGCTAATATAAAACATATCAGTTTTTGAAATGTAATAAAGCTCTTATTGGTCACACTCATATGTTTCAATACATCATTGGTAATATAGGAAAGAAAGTTCTAGAAAAAGTGTTACCTCCAATCATATATATTCAACTTTCAGGAAATAATTATGATATCAAAAGGTGAGCGACAGGTGTGAAAAGAAGATTTAACTTCCATTTCTCATTAAGTTCCTCAGGTGATGAAAAGACTTTTTTGAACAAAAGCTGAGGTTTCCAAGCTTTTATACCAGTCAGGCAAAGTTTTTGAAAAGATTTTTTTATCACAGTTAGGTAAACTCTTTCATAATATGGTACTGGCCTCACTAGTGATAAGCAAATCCATATATTGGAAGAAGGATAAGTTCTTCAAACATTCTTCTTGAAGTCATTTTCAAGAATGGTTAAGTTCCTCAAATGTCATGAAGCTTAGAAAATATCTCAATCAAGCAAACTCCTTTTGAGAGAAAACTGTAAAATGGAGCAAGAACCTTTTGAAAAGCTTTGATTTACATTCCTTCTTCACTTTTTCCCAGTATCAACTTTAGCAATTCATTGTTTTTCAGGATAATCTATAGTGATAAACTGTTGGCAATGATCCTGGTTAACTTAAAGATACTATTGTCAAGCTACTAGGGAAGTGAAATATTGTTCTCTAAATCTGACTTAGAGTACCTAGTTTAGACTTAATTTTGTTTAATTCAAACTAGCTTAGTGGATTTCTCATATTTTTTAAGTAGTGTAGTCCTTTAACTAATAATGTACAATGACAAGTTAGTCGCTTTGTGAAAATCTATAAAATATTTAGATATCTCTCAATATCTCAATAAAGATATACCATTGTGACATGATTACAGGTTAAATATATATATATATATATATATATATATAATAAAAAAAAGTTTATTTATATTTTAAAAATTAATATTTTTTATTTTAATCAATTATCTTATAATATTTAAAAATTAAAAATAAAAAAAAATTTCAAAAAATTATAAAATCTAAAGTTTTAAAAAAATTAAAAATTTTTTTGTTATTTAATTTTTAGAATTATTAGAAATCAAGTTTTTAATTAAAAAAATTTGTAAAAAAAAATAATAATATAAAAATTTTTATATAAATATTTTTTTATATATAATTAAAAAAGAAAACTAGTATTAAAGTATAATATAAGTAAATGATAAAGTTAAAATTTCTAATAAAAACATAGTAAATAAACTCAAACTTTTGAAAGCAATTATATACTGTATATATTTAAAAAATTTTAATGATATTTTAAAATTAAATTAATTTTTTTTTTAAAAAAAATAATAATAATAAAAAGTTTTTTTAAAAATATATAATTATCATATATTATCAATAAAAACATATTTTAAATTTTTGAATTGGAAATTTGAAATATATTACTATATTTTATCAAAAATAAAAATCACTTAGTTTTTAAAAAATTCTTTGATTGCTTTTATTTGATAACATATAATAATCAATTATTAATTAATTAAAAAAAAAAAGGGAATACAAAATTATATATTTTTTCGTAATTACACGGAAATTATGCAATCTGTACGCAAGTATAAGACTAATTTGGTTAACTTGGTTGATACAAAGTCTCAATGTACAAAGTTTCTAAATTTATATCACCGCTTTTTCAAATTTGCAGGAATCATTTTTTTCAAAGAACTCGGCGCTTTGCTTTGCATAGTTCAACGTATACTCAAAAAATAAGAACCATGACCAACACCATCAAACTTGGGGGAAAGGAAGTACCTGTTACAACTTCTCAATCGGACATTAATGTCGCGTCAGTATTTGAATTCAAACCGTTCAAAGAATGGGCCTCTGCAATGTCCGAGGAATTCTTGAACGCGGAAAATAAAGAAATCGAAGTTAGGAAGGTCGAAATTCAGAATGTTGATTTTTTTGGTTCCAAAATAGGCTTCATCAAATTTAAAGTTGACGCTGTTCTCACCGAAAATGGGAAGAATGTACCAGGAATTGTTTTTATGGTTGGTTGGGTTTCTTTCCAGCTTGCCTCATTCTAACGTCAAACAAGAAAATTTTCCTATTTTCGCGTTGGTAACATTTCGCTTTGAAACCTCGATCATTGAATTACTATCGTTTCGCGTTCAGCGAGGTGGCTCCGTTGCAGTCTTGCTCATCCTTCGATCGAAAGATCAGGATAACGAGACGGTGAAGGAACACGTTGTTTTAACCTACCAACCGCGCATTCCTGTTCCCTCTCTTTCTTTTCCGGAAATACCCGCAGGTATAGAAGAAAATGTATCTCCGCCATCTATATTAAGAGGTTTTCTGACGTTCTCTCGTTCATAGGCATGCTTGACGGATCGGGCAACTTTGTCGGTAAGGCTAGCGTGGAGATTAAAGAGGAAACGGGAATTGAAATCAACGACCAAGACCTCATAGATATGACCGAGTTAGCGTATGGGAGAGACTACAAGGGGGCTTATCCGTCGTGTGGTGCTTGCGATGAATTTTTAAGATTGTGCTTATGTATTAAAGAGATGAATCGCGAGGACATCGAAAAATTGGAGGGTAAACTCTGTGGATTGAGGGATCACGGAGAAAGTATTACGGTTAGATTGATAGAATTGAAGGATTTATGGAGAATTCCGGACATGAAAGCACTATCATCTTTAGCATTATATGATGCTCTGAAAAGGAACGAGAAAATTTGACGTTTTCGAAAACAACGCGATTAAGTAAAAGTATTACTACACATATTATTATTACTTGGGATAAATTAGATGGAGTTTAAATACAAATATGATGCACATCCAGTCTAGCGTAAGCTTATCTATTTCCTCTCTCTATTTTTTTCTCTTTTCTCTCTTTTCTCTCTTTTCCTTTCTTTCTTTTTTTTTTTTTTTTTCAAAAAAAAAAAAAAAAATTTTTAATAATTTAGTTGATCGGTAGCTTCTATCTAATCATGATAAGGATGGATCGATTTCTAGGTATTCAGCCGCGAAAATTCTGAAGATGGTATTTAGGTTGAAAAACGTGTCTGGATCGATGGCGTCAAAATTATCCTATCAAGAGAATATAATAATTTAAAATGTATATCGAATCTGGGAGCGATCAAATTAATTTTCATTGAAAAGGAATTCTTACCAGAGTTGTATGCCACACCGCCGGGAATGGATACGCGATGATGTGCAAAACTGGTACGCCCCTTTGTAGGAATGGTAAATGATCGTCCTCAATGTGGGCCTGAGAGGAGTGCAGGGTGCTTGTGTCGAAGTAGGGTTCGTCATCGAAACTGTCCTCACTTCCAGGTTTAATTATCCTCTTTTCATACAGTCGGTTCTCTATGTCAGCAAGCTTGGAGAACAACCACGATGTGGTTTTAAAATAATTCGCGAATGATGGCTGCTTGACTCCTAGAAGATCCAGTAAGACCAATGTCTCTATGCTACCAAGAACGGTTTTTGATTTAATTTCAGGGACATCGACCGTTAGCAAATAAGTTTTTTCCCATTTTTTGGCAAGATGCCTTGAACAATGTTGATCGATAGAGGTGAAGGGAAGGGTTAGGGTTAGTTTCGGTTGCATAGGATTAAAAGTTCGGTAAATGTTGGTCCTACCGGGATCCGTAGAGCGAATCGGTTGAGCTCCACGTTTTGAAGGCTTCTTCCCCATCAAAAAAGATAATTTGAAGTGTGGTGGTGGCTGTCAATCCGTATTTTACATTACTGAGGTATTGATCTAATCGGTACGCCAAGTCTATCAACATTGCACACGGAACAGCTGAATCGGTTGCGCCGACGAAATTATTTGGCGGGTCAAAATATTTAGAGTCAAAGTGAGCGGCCATGACAAAACGATTTGTCAAGTTTGCATTTTTCGTTACAATTATGTTGTTAAAAGTTTTTTCTCCGTATGGGGTTTGATCTTTAAACGTGTCCTCTTCGATTGTCCAACCAAGTTCTTTAAATTTAGATTTAATAAACTCTTGCACTTTTCTGTTTCCATCGGTGTCCGAAACTCGAGGGATCAGTATCTGTTTCAAGTATTTGTCCAAGGTCTCCAGGCTTTCGGACTCCGTAATGTTGGTTAGTACTTGGAGGCCTTCCTCTGTCAAGCTTTTATACGCCAAAATCCATTGGCAATAGTAAGGTAATATTAACAGCGCGAGAAAAACTGTTTTTATCTGAATCATTTCCAAAGTCGTTGCGTACGACGCTAAACGTATGTATGGTATGTATCAATTTAAATTTTCCTTATAGATAATGTATTTAGCATTTCCTTTTTTTCCATTGAACTGTGTTCCCGGAATGTGGGAATGCGTCACCTTATATATATAAGTTCAGTGCACACGTTTAAGGAGAAATTACACTGCATATCGTGACCAATCAATAAACATATTGAAAAAAAATTTTTTTTAAATCAAGTCGGTTCGTTCATTAATTGAGTTCTTTTGTTTCTCGCGTCAGCAAAAAATTCCTAGAAGACATGAATCACCCGGGCAACGACTCCTCCACCACTTTCCTAGACCCGAAAACCGCCTCTAAATATTTGTCGGAATATGAGACGCCCGACGGATTATCGGCTGAGGAAATTATGAACTTGCGTGCTAACGGCGGTTTGACCTATAATGACTTTCTCATTTTGCCAGGACACATCGATTTTCCACCTTCTGAAGTATGCCTGGAGTCCAGGATCACAAGAAACATTGTGTTGAAGACTCCCTTCATGAGTTCACCTATGGACACTGTGACCGAGACTGATATGGCTATAAACATGGCCGTGAGTTGCATGCAGATTATTGTATAAAGATTGGTCAATGTTAGATAGACATTCAGATGATGATCGATCACTTATTAGGTTCATTCATCCGGTCGTTCCTGCTCAATTTGACTTGCTAAATATATATATATTTTGATATTAGTTGCTGGGGGGTGTGGGAGTGATTCACCACAATTGCTCTTCCGACGAACAAGCCGAGATGGTACGGAAGGTGAAAAAATTTGAGAATGGGTTCATTCCCGATCCCTTATGCTTAACTCCCAACCATACCGTGGCTGATGTGCACAAGATTAAAGCCAAATTTGGCTATAGCGGCATACCAATCACAGGTAAAAAATGATTTACTGAGATTACATGTGTATATGGCTACGCAATTAAGTAATCACGCGAGTGATGATGGTGATGATGATGGTGATGATGATCAAAAAAAAATTTTTTTAACTTTCGTTCTTCCGAATTGGTGTGATTAAAATCACACCTTGTGGAATCGTTTTTTTTTAAGAATACTGATTCCGTCTCCCCAAAAATTTGTGCGGCGGATAACTTGATCGGTTCATGTGAATAGTATCTCACGTGATCTTTATATAATAATTTAGCAAATGGGAGGTTGTATAGTATGCTTCTGGGTATCGTCACCGCTCGCGACATTCAATTCCACGAAGATCATACCACGTTGCTCAAAGATGTCATGACGACCGACTTGGTTGTTGCACATGAAGGCGTCACACTTGAAGAGGCCAATCAAATACTTCGATCTAGCAAGCGTGGGAAATTGCCGATCGTTAATTCTCGTGGTGAACTGGTTTCGTTATTGTCCAGGTCTGACTTATTAAAGAATCTTAATTTTCCATTGGCATCCAAGTCTCTTCATTCAAATCAATTGCTCTGTGCCGCGGCCGTCGGGACTCACCCTGATGACCGAGTCAGACTTCAAAAATTGGTTGATGCTGGGTTGGACATAGTGGTGTTGGATTCTAGTCAAGGAGATTCAATTTATCAAATTGAGATGATAAAGCATATTAAAAAAACCTATGGTGACACGCTTGAAATCATTGCTGGAAACATTGTCACAAGGGAGCAAGCCGCTTCGTTAATCGAAGCAGGCGCCGATGCACTGCGCGTTGGCATGGGAAGCGGGAGCATATGTATCACCCAAGAAGGTTCGTGATAGACTTCATGTTCTTCGTTCTCAATACGATGAAATCTCTTTTTTGACCATTCACGTCATTATTAAAGTTATGGCGGTAGGTCGCCCTCAGGGCACCGCCGTATATAAGATTTCCGAATTCGCGCAAAAGTTCGGCATCCCCGTCATCGCCGACGGTGGGATCCAAAATGTTGGCCACATCACGAAAGCGTTGGCACTTGGCGCGTCCGCTGTGATGATGGGCGGACTGTTGGCTGGCACCGCCGAGTCTCCCGGTGATTATTTCTATCACGATGGCCAAAGGTTAAAAAAGTATCGTGGGATGGGCTCGATAGATGCCATGGAGCGTAATTGCAATTTCCGTGATTCATCCGAGAGCGCGGCTGCAAGAAGATATTTCTCTGAGAGGGATGCCGTTAAAGTTGCCCAAGGCGTCGCCGGTGCAGTTGTCGATAAAGGCAGTATTCGAAAATTCGTGCCATATTTGATTTCTGGGTTGCAACATGCGCTACAAGACATTGGAGTAAAGAGTTTGATTCAGCTGAAGAATGAAGTGGGGTCTGGTAAAATTAGGTTCGAGCTGAGAACCGCCGCTGCCCAAGTTGAGGGTGGCGTGCATGGATTATATTCGTAAGTATCGTTTAATGTTTTGTTCAGGTATGGGCACTGCCGGATTATGAAACGTATTCAAGGTCATTATTATTTTAGGTACGAAAAACGACTCTTCTCTTAATTTCCTTAATGTCCCTTGGGTATCATTTCTGGTGTCAAATATATTTGCATTTTTAAAATACTGTATCTATCCCTTCTTGAATCATTCGGTCAAAACGTATAATAATCATTTTAACGATAAATTATTTTCAATGATATCATAAATTGTCATTGATATTACATCAATTGTGCAAAAGTGTATTAGTGTATAGTGAAATTAAAGGAAACAAAAAGAATAATAAAATAAAATAAAATAATAGGTGCGATTTGTAAAATAATAGAGACCGACAACAAAAAGTCAAGCATTTCCATATGACCAATTAACATTGTTTTACACCATTAGTTTATGATAAATTTCAAGGGGAAAGCTTGATTGTTGACAGCGCTTTCTTTAGGGTTTCACCAGAGCCTTTCCAAAAAAAAAAAAAAAAAGATCCAGCCAAGTTAATGCATGCGATCCATAAAAAAAATTTTTTTAAAATATCTCTACTTCTAGACAACTTAACATACCATCTATGGAATTCAAAAACCTTATGAGTTCTTTGCACAACTGCAAAAAAAAAGTCTGATTAGTTGGGTTGTACAAAAAAAATTGAAACTCATGTTCACATATAATTTCCAAGGAATCGGTTACCTCGTAATCTTCCGAGTCCATGGCCTTGGACAGCAATCGAATAGTATCCTGTTTTATATTGTGATGACGGGTAAAATGTAAATTTCAAATCGGTAGGAAAAAAAAAGAAAAAAAGCAAGTATTTGACATACCTTGCTACTATCGGTCGACGGTTCCAAGGTGTGAAGCACCAATAAATATGAGGTAGCAGTTTTGAGTAATCCGGCAGACATGCATTTCTTTGACAAAATAGGATTTCCAGGTTAATAATTATTAGAGCCTCGCACAAATCCAAAGGTCTATATTTACCTCGAACAGATCTTTTGGGCTACCAACAATAGAAAACAGGTAGTCCCATAACGCCACCTCAGTTTTACGCGCACAGCCAACGATCGCATTTAGCGCATGAGGAAAATTATTAAGAAATTTCACGACACGTGGTAATACTGCATCCCGAATGTGTTACATTAAGTTAAATGAGAAATCGCGAGGTAAAAAGAACCCAATGGTAACAACTTACACTTCGCTTTTCCAACAGCAGAATGTTCGGCTTCTTCTTCTAGAACGAGATGCAAAAGCATCTCTAATGCATGTCCAAAATATACCAATTTCTGGTAGCTTGTCGCAAAGGCCACTGATTCTTCTTCGAGTCTAATTAAATAGGAAGTTTAGACATGAGAAGAAATTTAACGCACGAGAGGAATAGCTTACTCTTTGGTCAGCATATATCTCAATATGTGTTGCAAGAATAAGTGAGTCTGAATGGGGCGCGGAAAACAAATTATAGATCAGGTCAAGCCGAAAAAAGATATATAATAATAATAACAAATGAAACGACCGACTCACGTTAGTCATCAGCTTCATAACTGTGAATTCATGGGACTGCCAAACCGATTTCTGCTGTTGAACGCCAACAATTATACCTTTGTCAAGTAAAACAGCTAATTAAAAGGAAAAAAAAAAAAATCGAGCATTATCCAAACATGTTTATATACATATACGTATTCGCCCATATAGCATAAACACTTGAGACTAACATAAGGGATAAAATTCTAACGTGATTCGTAAGCATTCTTTAGTAGCAGACAATAAAACGTCGTCTTGCCAATCCCTTGCAGTTTCTTCATTCGACCATATATTCATCCATATCTGAAATTATAACACGATTTATTGTTAAATTTTCGGAATAAAGAACCAAGAGCCTATTCCATTTATAATATCCATGAACTCGTTTCCTACTTTTAATCCTTGTCCATCACATGCCCACAAAGAATTCTTTAGACTGCCTATGCCGCGAGTAGACATCCAATAAAACTCGATCTTGTCAGCGAGAACGTGAAGGTCGTATTGTACTTCCCCCTCATCACTCTTAAAAAAGAATTTGTAAGCCAATAAAGTTGAAAGGAGAAAAAAACATCACGCTCGGTTTGTTTCGCGTACCCTTTTGGGATGTAGCAATATGAGTTTACCGTCTATTAAGAATATTATTGAAGCTGACTGAATAGTTTCGGGGGTAAATGGTCCTAATAAAGTATTATATTAAGATTCGTTTTTATGAATGCCATTAATGACGGCACAAATGAAGGGATTCTTCTTTTCTTACTGTGCAATTTTGGTTGGAACCATGAGATGGACCTAACCCTAGCCGGAGCGTTAATCACACCGACGAATGAAATTTGTTGACATAACTCGACGGAAATTGATCTTGTCCCTCCCGCAGCGCCATCATGTGATGAGGACATGAGGTAATGATACATCATATTGTCAACACAGTAAACAAGTAAGGCATTGTCCACTATGCTCAAATACAGTATGTAGCTGGGTATCTGAATAACCTGTATCATGTGTACATTATCTAAATTTGTTTCACGAGAATACATACGTATCTGAATTAAACCACAAAAGATCCAAATGAGTACAACCTGTGTGTCTTAGTCGAAAAGATTGGAAATCGAAAGCAAGCAAAGAAATACCTCGTATGTATGCGATCGCACGTTTTCACACGCAGCAACCAAGATCTGCCTGAACCACAACAATCCTCCACGAACAGCAAATTCTTGTTCCTAAACATTGAAATTAATCATCATCCGGGAATTCGCTCCGAGTGCTAACAGGAATGCCAAGACTGAAGCGAAAAACATATCCACCTGTTGTTGGTTACCGAACAATTTCCAACGACCAGAGGAAACATTGTAATGGGCCAAACCGCGTCTCCCAGCGATTGCTATGTATCTTCCATCTCCGCTTATAGAAGAATACTTTCGGTAATAAAGCAGAGTAATTATCATTAATTTGTGAAATTTTCCTCGACCACACGTAAAACTCGGATTTTCGAGAAAGTACCTTTATAGGCCAATTATCGCTGATATACATGATCGGTACCTAAATGGTGATTAAACTTGATAAATATTTGACGTGAAATTTTTTTAAAAAAAAAAATAAATGAGCCCTTGAATGATAAGATTTACATACTGGAATATGCTGCCAAACTATGGTGTCAGGATTAATTGTACTGAGGTCCTCCTGGTCACCACCACGATAAAGTAAAAGGCGGTCGTCCATTTGTAAGAATCCCCGCTTTGCGTTATCCTAAAGGTAATTAATTACATCAAATAATAAGAAATAGTCGAGAATAAAATGAGAGCTTATGATCTCGATTAATGCTCAACTGGGCTATGAATTGTCGTGACTGCCGATTTCGCGAATGTGAGAGTAAATAATTGACCATCTAGTGTAATTAAAGAAAAATAAATACATAGGCATTTGAAACATTAGAACATCGTTTAAGGCCCTCACCCCCTTCAGACTTTTCTTCCTGCAAGAAAAAGAGCTCGCAATTTCCAGAGCACCAAAACTTTAGAGCAATAAAAAATATTTTAATGAAGACGTGACAACAACGGAATGACGGTTCGAAACGAAATGTGCATACCAGACCCGTGACACCACGTAAAGATGAATCTTGTGAACTAGATATTTTAGTTATAACATTAAAAAAAGAATATATATATATATTAATAATGAATTATTATTAGGAATTCTAATTCACTACAAATTCTTGTTTCAATACTTAGTATGTGGCCAATCGTCCCCAACAGTTGTCATCAACAGTCGGCCGTAGACACTCCAAACAGCCATTCCTTCATTCTGCCAACCAACCGCAATAGCGTGCCCGTCGGATGTCCACGCTAGTGATGTGACAGGTCCTGTGGGGATGAGTGCTACTGAAGTCAAGAACCTAATATAATTTATTATCCAACGTCAAACTTGAGATGTTAATAAAGGATATTTGATGATATCTCCAAGTGTTCAGATATGGACAATCGATGTGAAAGGTGAATGGCGCCATTATAATTCCTCGCGAAGTAAATGTATACAAGTCCGCTGTAATGTTAGAAGATTTTGTTAATCAGATTGAGACACGGTGGGACATAGCCTGCCTAAATTTAATAATAAGAATTACTTTTCTATGTTCAATATTCATATTAGACAAACCCTTGAGTTCCTACAGCCAATAGAGAAAACTTCGCATTGATAGCTATACAATTGGATCGGATCTCCAATTCAGGCTCCGTATCCCCGCTTGGATGAAAGCAATATCCCGTCCAGTATAAAGGAGGAATCTTGGCGTTCTTGTCCGACTTCACGGATAAAAGGAAAACATACATACATGCGAGTAAGAATGGTGAAATTCAATGGAATTTTCAAAAGTTTATGACAAAGGGAACAACTTACAGAGGATAGGTGTTCATTGAACTGCACGGCGTAGGCTTTTCCATCATTGGTCACCCATCCGTAAAGGTTAATTCGGCGATCAAACACGATGTGGTTTATGTTAACTAGCATTTGACAACGAGATTATTATTATCGCCATTACTAGGATTAAGGTGAAATTCAACTCAGGTAACTGAGCGAAAAATAAATCGACGTGATCTTGGAATTCAAATATGAGAGACACGCTCTTATTACGTATATCAATCGATTCTTTTTTTTTTTTCTTCCGTTTTAATTGAATTCCCAAGGTCCAGGCATTATTTATGTAGATTATTCGAGTTCACACACCTTTTTTTGGTCCTAAGAATTCCAATCGTGATAGTATGGTTGTCTTTGTAGAGCTCGGCTCACCGTTCCAAGGTATGCACTGGATCGCTGGTGGATTCTTTGTGGTAACAATCAGATACTCATCAGTCCCTACTCCGCTGTTATGTAAAAAATTTTTATTACGGAATTGGTCGACATATTAACTGACGATGTTTATGAAATGCAAGGGAAAACCTACTCACGCCTCCATTCCGGCATCTATTCTAATGGTCATTCGGAACTTTAGCAAGAAGGTTTTGATCCCATTACCTTCCCCTGCCCCGGTAACATAATGATGGGAAACTTGACCGAATTGGTATTTATAACTTTTGTCGTCAAAAGGAAGAACCATGTATGTGAACAAGCAACTTTGGTTCGTCTTGAAATTACATTGAACAGGTAAGACACTGACTGAAGAGTAAAATTTTTGAAAAATTAACTATATTTACTTGAACAATGATAATATTTCCGTCAGGTTTCCAGAATATGTCCACGTTTTCACCATATTCTTCTAAAGATTTACTGGTCCTGCACACCTGAGAAATTAAAGCAGTAGGCTTAAACGAACCACAGAGAAGTCAATATATACACCAGGGTTAAGCTCGTCATTACGTAAGGTATAAAAAAAAAAAATAAGCCTTACCCGGATGCCCCACAATTGCACCGAATCCTTGGTCAAAGTAATAAATAAGTTGCCGGCCTTGTTTCTTCTGAGTTTTAGTATGACGCGTGAGGGTTGAGCAAAACCTTCACCGGGATCAACTGTGCGAACTTCTAATGCTTTCGCAATTCCACTTGCCCAATACATGTTTTTGTTTTCTTAAATCTCAAGTAACCAATTCAAAATTTCTTGCATCTCATATACATGTATTAATTTATAATAATCTGTGTGCGACAACATTGCATACACATATTTACATTCTTCGATATTATTGGGTAGGTACTAGCCTAAAAATTATAATTCATAAATTATGAGCAACGACGTTTAAGGACGAAGGAGGAATCGGCGAGTTTAGCTCAGTTGGGAGAGCGTCAGACTGAAGATCTGAAGGTCGTGTGTTCAATCCACACAATTCGCAAATTTACTTTACGTTCATTAGGATTTCTTTTTTTCCTTACACCACTTTGAACCAATGTTTATTTCTTATTAAATAAATAACTCGGGATTTAGAGCAAAATGAATAAATATATAGTTACATGATTGCATGATACTGTACAATATTGTTAATGCACGTGACTCTTACATCAAATAATGATACTTTCCACTGAATACCCTTTCTCTCTTGCTTTCATCCCAATCATCCTCTTTGGAAATTTGGTCGGCTGTCCTCAACAAACTCTTCAATTCATCTTCTAATTCCTCAATTTTCTTCTCCAACTCCTCAACCTTCTGTTCGTCGTATTCACCCAATCCAACGGCCACCGCGCTCAGAATTTTAATCAACCTCCACAACCTGAATATGATCAATAATCCTGCAACTTCTCTCTCTTTTCCTTTCAAAAATATTTCCAAGAGGAAGGTCGCGATCACAACCAAAGCATCAAACAAATGAATGAACCAATGTGGTCCAGTTGAAAAATATTGATTTCCGAAGACGAAAAGGTTTAAAAAAATTTCGATCACGAACACGGTATTGATCAGAAACGCAATGATCGAAAGTGTTTCGATCATCTCCCCATGTTCCTCCTCGGGCCAGAGAAAGGTGATCGTGATGGTTGTCAACACGCAAAAAAAATCGGATGCAACCAGACAGAGAATGAACCAATGCCAATTTCGAGAACGAAGGCGATTTTTAATATATTCCTGAAGACCTTTCTGTCTCTGAGAACTTCTTTCCGGTAAAAGAGGTTCGGTTCCTGGGATATCATCATTTCTTTCCAAGTCCATCATTTACTTATTCCGCTAGAATAAAAGATGATCTGAGTTAAAAAAACCAAAATTCTGGGCTATGACTACATAAATGTAGCACAAAAGCTTGTGACTGATCTCCCAAGATCTTATTCAAAGAACTTTTAAATATGCACGTTACTATGTATAGAATCTCTTTTTCACAATAATGACGACAATAACACATTTGACCTTGGCCTATCGACTTTTGACGCGACACTTGGATCGCAATGTGCTCTTCCAAAAAAGATCCCCGAACCCTGCCATGAGTCTGCTGAGAAGAACGCATAGAAAATTTACCTCTGTCACAACACCTGATCAAGCCGCCGTTACCACTCATACCCTTGTTACACCTTCTCCTGGTATTCACTGTGTTCTTTGGTCTCGGTCGATCAATGCTGCCTTATGTCACCTCTTCTTGACTTAAAATAATATTTCCGCGCTCTAATTTTCTAGAATCCTTGGGGTTTGAAGAGACTTCGGTGAAGAAAGTACATCGACCCATATACCTGGACATGCAAGCCACAACACCTCTTGATCCACGCGTGCTTGATGCAATGCTTCCTTATCTAACTCAGCAGTACGGCAATCCTCACTCGCGAACGCACGCCTATGGTTGGGAAGCGGAAAAGGCGGTTGAAAAAGCTCGTGCTGTAGGTCATTCGATTTCAAATTTTTGTAAGGGCTCAACGTGCGGAACTTGATATTTTCTCCCCCTTTCATCAATAGCATGTCGCGGAATTGATTGGTGCAGATCCAAAAGAAATTATATTCACTTCAGGCGCCACCGAATCGAATAACATAAGCGTCAAGGGTGTCGCACGATTTTATAAAAGTAGCAAGAAACACATTATCACCACCCAAATTGCGAGTATCAATCGATCTTAATGATGTACGCTTTTGACGGGAATTTTCAATAATGAATGAATGCATTTTCTAATACCATCAAACAGGAGCACAAGTGTGTCCTCGATTCATGCCGCGTCCTCGGCGAAGAAGGTTTTGATGTTACCTACTTACCCGTTCAACAATCGGGGCTTATAGATCTGAACACCTTTGCCGAATCCATTCGTCCGGACACGTCACTCGTCTCAATTATGACGGTGAATAATGAGATTGGTGTAACCCAGCCGGTTGAAGAAATTGGTCGAATTTGTCGTTCAAAGAAAATTTTCTTCCACACCGACGCTGCACAAGCAGTGGGAAAAATACCAATGGATGTTAATAAGATGAATATCGATTTGATGAGCATATCTGGTCACAAGGTCTATGGACCAAAGGGAATAGGTGCTTTGTATGTTCGAAGAAAGCCGAGAGTCAGGCTTGAGGCATTGCAAAGCGGTGGCGGGCAAGAAAGGGGATTGAGAAGTGGAACGGTGCCTACACCATTGGTTGTGGGATTAGGAGAAGCGTGCCGAATTGCAAAGGAGGAGATGCAGGTCGGTCTTAACGATTCTTGATATCCTTCGTAAAGATAAGAATTTTCCCGGAATAGATGCCAGATGATGTTAAAATGCAAAGAATAAGCGAGTGATATTAATTTTCATGCAATGATTAAAAACTGCAGGGGTGCTGAAGGCGTTTTTAATTTTTTTTTTTTTTTTTTCCTGTTGACAACCACGACTATTTGTGGCATACCTACAATAACCCCGTTTGCAATTTTGTTATTTTGTAGTATGATTCCATGCGTGTCAAGAAACTTTCCCTGAGGCTCATTGATGGTATCATGTCAAGAGTTCAGCACATTGTTCGTAACGGTGATCCAAACGCAAACTATCCAGGTTATTTGTTTGTATTACTTTTTTATGTGTCCAAGTGTACGACATCTGAAGTATGAACGCCTTTCCCTTAGGTTGCGTCAACCTTTCATTTGCATATATCGAGGGAGAATCACTCCTAATGGCTCTCAAAGATATTGCCCTCTCATCAGGGTCAGCATGCACCTCAGCTTCGCTGGAGCCATCATACGTTCTTCGTGCATTAGGCACTGAGGATGATATGGCCCATTCAAGCATTAGGTTTGGTATAGGACGGTTTACCACGGAACAAGAAATTGACTTTGTTGTGGAGAGGGTAGTACAACACGTTGACAAGCTGAGAGAAATGTCACCACTCTGGGAGATGGTATGTGACATTCCAAAATCCGTAGGATCAAAAAATTTTTTTGATATTATTCACCGACCTGAGCGAATTATTTAGGTTCAAGAAGGTATTGACCTGAAATCAATTCAGTGGAGCCAACACTGATCCAAGCTTTCTTTGATTTCCCATAATTTTGTATGCGTTTAAAATCGCCCATATGCAAAAAAAAAGATTTGTGTGCCTGACCTACACGTTGAATAGTGATTAATTTGTACATTAGTGTAATTGGATATCATTATCCCAAAAGTAAAAGTTGTAATGTCTAATGAGATTAATAAAATTATTTACATGTGTTAACATCAATCAATGTCCAATAATTTCATGATTATGCAATTAAATTGTATTGATGAGATTAAAATAAATAAAAATTGTGATCTTGTAGCAATGTAAACAATATAATTGAAAAAACGTGTGTTCACTCGTCAGTCAATACAACACTTTCACTTAACGAATGATCACCAACTTAACTAAACTAGAAATTATTCAGGATTTCCCGCTATTGCTATTGGAACGAACCACTCCACTATTGCCATGATTACTCCTGGACGGCACCGGAGCTTTGACCACAGAACCCAACCCAATTATGGTCCAAAACGATAAACTCTTCATGATTGAACTTGTGCTAGGTGCAGCCGTTTTATCTGTCGTTTCCTCAGAATCTTCCGACTTTTCGGGTGGTGCTTCAGAAGCATTAGGTGGATTTCCATTACTTTCATTACTTTCTTTATTCTCATTACTCTCATTGCTTTCATTACTTTCATTACTTTTAGTGATATAGGTGACCAACAGAGGAAACTATAAAATACAAAAATGTTAAAGATATCTTATATCTATATGCGCATATATATACATAGATGCTCGATTAAATGGATTCTGACCTTAAACTCTTCAACTTCAGACAATGGTGTAATTTCAACAATGATACTGGTGTAATTGCCCCGTCTTTCGTAAATTCCAATGACGTCGGTTCTTGGCGTGATAGAAGCAGATGATTGAGGACGAGATCTCGACGGAACTAATTCCGGCTCGTCATACTCCCAGACCTCATTATATGGCGTTATGTTGAAATGAGGGGAAGGTATCGTGATCTTCCCATACTCCAAAGGTTCGTCATTCAGCTTCAGGTCCACCATTATTTCTTCGTACAATGGATTGGAAAATTTTAAAACAATTTGCGTGGGTTGATTGAGTATAAGTTTTGGCAAGCTTGCTATGGAGATTTTTGGGATACTATTTCTGTAGTTGGATCGAACGATTACTCATCGTGCTCAGCATTCAAGTGACAAAACGCAACCCATGAATACTCACAAGGCAACAAGTTTGATCTTAAATCTGGTTGCCTGAGCCTTTTGTTCGGGTTTAATGAGAATATGACGACATGAACGGCAACGTTTTACTCGTTTTGTACGAAGGTGAATGCGTTGCGGTTGAAGTAGCCTGAAAAGTGGTATCAAGAGTCATTCTAACTTAATGCTGCGGAGAAGTTAACGCTATTCAAATATTACTTACTCCACTTTGTAGGGCTGGTCGCTGTGTTGATTCATCCTTTGTGCCAGTGTGGTAACTATGAATGCGAAGACGTGATGAATTAAATATTGATTGAAGTTGCTGGGAATAAATGAGATATCAAAATACTTGTGTACTTTGATTGACATCTTTCAATTGAACCAAATCATCAACTAATTTGTTATCACTCTCAACTTTTCCAACCGCCTCATATGGTGCAACATCATCAGACTTTTGCTGCGCATGAGCCATTCCAGAGCCACCATATCGGCTACTAAAGCTGCTCATTCCGGGTATGGATAATAACGAAGAAGGAAGTGTGGTAGAAGGGATATTAAGGCGTAGATGTTTCTCAAAGTGCTCCTTAAGATGATCAAACTCTTTTACATCTGGTCTTTCATCTTCAGTCTTCTGCAATTGCACTAAAATCGATATTGTTTGATTTGATCAAAATAAAATAGAAATTCACATTTGGTCGATAATACTAGAAACCGCGTTAATTACAAGCTAATCCTGTTGCCTTTTCAAAGGTCATCCCTATTTCCTGAGAATCCCAGCGACAAACACCGCATGAAAGATAGTATGGTGACCCTGTCGATGCCGATGTCGATGTCATAGTTAAAGCAGCGGGTGCATTAGAAAGCGATGATTCGCTAGTGGCCACGACTGAAAGAGTATTTTGACAAATCGGGCATTGGAAACAATTTCGCGCACATCTAAAATAAATCATACATTTTACTGTTACTTACATTTCACATTAATTTAAAATTTTTGCTCAAACAAACCTGTTTCTTTCGCTTTTGACACTTGCAGTCGGTACTTCGAATAAACAATTTGGACAGTAGAAACAGACTATTTCCTCCTGCACACATCTCGGGCAACGTATTTGATGACAATCGTCACAAAAGTAAAGCTTTGAAATGGGGAAGGTGGAAAACTGAATACGGGGAGAGTTTACGTCGAAGTTGGATATGATTTTTTCTTCGGACTCGGGGGATTTACGCACATCCGGGCATGAACAATGATAATGCACGTACGCGAGCTGGCGTGTATCGAGTAATTGGGATGACATTTTTTTGGCCAGATCGAGATGATTTCATTGTGGTGTGAAGGCACACATTAACTTAAATTAATCACGTGAGTACGTACACGTACCTCCCCCTTTGCCAAAGTGGTAATTTAACATGCTCGAGTCTAATCGAGAATTAAAATTATAAAATTTAAAAATATGCATTTAAAGAGATAATTTTATGAAGAGTTCCATTATACTTGAGATCAAGCTTAACAATGTATAGTATTTAGATAGGAAATATATAAAGGATATACTATACTTAGAAAGGTTTCTCTGTATAAACAATTTGAAAAAAAATTATTATTATTAATCTTCTTTTGTTTGTTTTTTTGAAAACTGATATAGCTTGCTTTTATTAAAACAAAGAATACATCAAAATATTCAAAAAAAAAATTTTTAATCTAAAAAAAACTTTACTGATGACCTATTGCCATCCATTACGGGATTCTACTTTTCAATTGCTAAAAAACAAAAAAAAAGAAAAAGAAATATGAAATTTGTATTTTAGATTTTTGTATATATTTAATTAAATTATTATTTTTATTATTTTTATTATTTATTTTTTTTTAAAAAATAAACAAGATAATTTTATTAAGATAACATAGAAAAGTTATATTAGTTTAATGATGCAATTTCTCTAATAAATTTAAAACTATTTATAAAATTACAATAAACATTAGTTGAAAAAAAATTATTCAGTATACTATCACTTGTATAACATTTCACAAAAAATAATAAATAAATCAGCAACTATATAATTCAACTATAAATATTATAAAATTGATATATTAACAATTTATCAAACAATTCATTAACTATTTAACAAAAATTTATTAAAAGTTTATCACAAAATTATTTATTAGCAATTCAATAAAAATTCAACATTAATTTATTAATAATTTGACAAAAATTCATCAACTATTTATCAAAAATTCATCAACTATTTATCAAAACTATTCATTAAAAAATTGTTAACTATTTATTAAAAATTTAGCAATTATTCATTAAATTATAAAATTAAAAGTTTATTAACCATTCATTAAAAATTCAACAACTATTTATTAGCAATAAAGTAAAAAAATTGATAAACTTATATATGAATTTTTTTGAATTAAGATTAAATTTATAAATTATAAATAATACAAACTATAATATGATATATAATATGTTATTTATATTATTATAATTTAATTAATTATGTATTATTATGTAAATAATATTAAATAATTTATAAATATAAATGATTTTTTTTACAAGTTTTATAAATTTTTATTAAATAATAGATAAATAGTGACTAAATTTTTAATGAACAGTTAATAAACTTTTAATAAATAGTTTTGATAAATAATTGCTAAATTTTTAATAAATAGTTGATAAATTTTTAATAAATAATTGACAAATATTTAATGAATAATTTTGATAAATAGTTGTCAAAATTTTAATAAATAGTTAATAATTTTTGATAAATTATTAATAAATTAATATTGAATTTTTATTGAATTGCTAATAAAATACCTGTGGATCAATAGCACAGTGGGTATGCTTCCAGGTTACTATTCGCAAGTTATTGGATCAATTCCATTTCAGAACAGTATTTGTAAAATAAGTTACATTATACAAGATACATGCTCATGTCACATGCATACTTGTATACAAGATAATCTATAGAAACTTACTATTCGATCATGGTGTAATAAATCAAGTTATATAGATCCTGGTTAGTTTTAATATCAGGAAAAGATCCCATGATGTCATGTCACCTAGAATATGTAAAGACTTCAAAGAAAACTAGGAAAGACAATAATCGACTTAGAACTCTATCGATTTTACATGGAAACTCACCTTTTCTCAAAAAATCATCCTCATAGGAGACTGGGAGATTTCGGTCGCTATTACCAGTCGAAAATATACAAAGGGTTGGTCATATACTAAGAGACACATGTGTTACTGTTACCAATGGCTACTAGAGGATATGGCCCCATAGATGTCAGGAAGCTTGTTAAAGTACAATAGATATAATAGAAACCATAGGAATGGATATGTTTGTGAGAGACCTAAGGTCTTATGTAATGATCAAGGAAAATTCCTGTAGGCCATATTTGAAGAGTGGTTAAGAATAGTTACTGGAAGACTTAGGTCATTGATATGGCTTACCAATGGCCATCAAAAGATTTACTTGAGACTGCATAAATATTAAGGATATTAATGGATAACCAGTCTTTAAGGACTAAGCACGACAAGTATGTCTTATGATTTGAACACACCTTATCAAAGACAGATCCCATGATGTAAACACACCTCAAAACTAGCTCCCTAACAAAAAAATAATAATAAGAAGTTATCTAGTGGATCATCGAAACACCAGGCAGCTTGGGCATAACAGGGCAACTAACAAAGATGATACACTTAATAAATAAAATCGGGTAGTATTTAATCAGGTAGAATAGGATAGTATAGGTTAGTAGTTATAAGAATTGTTCTTATAAATCAAACTATATATTCTATAATATCTGATCAAGAAAAGCCCAGTCAGTATGACTTTAAAAAAAAAAAAAAATTACTAAATAAATAATTTTGTAACAAACTTTTAATAAATTTTTGTTAAATAGTTAATTAATTATTTGACAAATTATTAATTAATTTTTTGACAATTTATTGTTAAACTTTAATTAATAAATTTTTAATTACTGAATTTTTTGATTATTGAATTTTTTATTGTCAAATTTTTGATTATTGAATTTTTTATTAACATTTTATTGCTGAAATAATAATATATTGAATAGCAACAATCAAAAAGAATTTAACAATATTTTTATTATTAATTTTAATCAAATTCAGCAATAATTCAGCTATTAAATAACATAATTTTGACTAGTGAAAACATAGTGATTATTATTTCTATCACCTGTTTATATTATAGTTCTAAGTGATTAATATATAAAAATATTATTAATGTTTCAATCACTCAAAAAAAAAGAATAAAAAATAAAAAAAAAACACCAGTTGAAAAAAAATTATTCAGCACACTGCCACTTATGTACATTCAGCAAAAAATAAACAATTTAATAAAAAATAAAATAAATAAATTAGCAACTATATAATTTAGCTATTATATAAATATTACAAAAATCAGTATATTAACAATTCGTCAAAAAATTCATTAACAATTCATCAAATAATTCATTAACAATTTAGTAAAAAATTATTAAAAGTTTGTCACAAAATTATTTATTAACAATTCAATAAAAATTCAATATTAATTTATTAATAATTCATCAAAAATTTATTAAAAATTTGTCAACTATTCATTAAAAATTTAACAAATATTCATCAAAACTATTTATTAAAAATTCATCAACTATTTATTAAAAAATCAGTAACTATTCATTAAATTATTTATTAAAGATCTATTAACTATTTATATGACTAACTTATTATTATACATTATTAGTAAAGGACTATACTACTTAAAAAATATAAGGAGTCCACTAAGCTAGTTTAGATTAAACAAAACTAAGTATAAATTAGATACTTTAAGTCAAATTTAGGAAACAATATTATGTTTTTATAGTAGCTTGATATAGAGTCTTTAAGTTAAGTAAGATTATTGTCAACAGTTTGTTATTGTTGATTATTCCAAAAAATAATAAATTGCTAAAGTTGATATTGAAAAGAGAAAAAAGAAAATATAATTCAAAGCCTTTTAAATAATTCTTGCTCTATTTCTTATTTTCCTCTTAAAAGATATTTGCTTAATTGAAATATTTATGATATTTTAAAAACTTAATTATTCTTAAAAATGACTTTAAGAAGAATATTTGAAAAACTTATCCTTCTATTTATATATAGATTTGCTTAACGCTATTGGAACCAGCACTATATTATAGAAGAATTTACCTGATCAAGATAAAGAAATCTTTTCAAGAACTTTGTTTAACCAGGATAGAAACTTGGAGACCTCAACTTTTGTTCAAAAAAGTTTTTTTACTACCTGAGAAACTTAATGAAAAATGGAAATTGAATTTTCTTTTCCTATTTATTACTCACTTTTTGATATTATAATTGTTTCCTGAAGGTTAAATATACATGATTGAAGAGAACACTTTTTCTAAAACTTTCTTCTCTATATCATCAATAATATATCAAGACATGTAAGTGTAATCAATAAAGGCTTGTTTACATTTCAAAAACTGATATATTTTATATTAGCCAATTACCTTTAGTGAGAATTTGTATTATTCAAAATTCAAGATTAAATTGAGATAGACAAAATTCCTCAAAAAACCATAAAAATAAAAGCTCTAAAAGGATTGAAATAGTCAAAAAGGGAGAAAATAAGTCTTTTTACTACAAAAAATCTCTATAAGCCTCTCACTTCAAAAGTTAAAAAGATCTTTAAATACTTTACAGTTAGTTTTTTTTTTTTTGGAAACTTTCTTGCCATTGATATCAAAGGTGTTACTTGACTTTTCTTGATCACTAGAAGTCAAGTTTTTGTGTAAAGAGATTTATAAACAATAAGAAAAGGGTAGAAGCAATTCTTAAAGTTATACTTCAAATTGTTTTAAGAACAGTATTAAGACTTTATTAGCAAGAAAGTATAAAAACTTCTTGCGAACATCTTTTTTGTATATAGTCAGAGGATCAGTGAAAAAAGGGATTGTTTGATTTTCAAGTTTTTTTAATAATATATAATATACAGTATAATTTATATTATCATAATTTAATTAATTATATATTATATAAATAATATCAAATAATAAAGTAAAAAAAAAAAACTCTTTCCGCTGA